GACTGTGTGGGAAGTTTTTAGTATCGGACTACGTCTTGTAGACAATCAAAGAAATGAGTGATCTTGATTTTCTCCCTACCGCCATAGATTTCCTCTGCAGATCCACCGTATTCTCCTTGCGCCGCCATCTCTATTAGCATATAAAGCTTCTTGATTGGCATCTGCGCGAAAAAAAAAAACATAAAACCGTGTTAAGACAAACAACAAAAAAGTTTAGAAGTAGCAAAAACATAAAGATCGTTTTTCTGTTTCATTTCCGGTAAAACTGTCTTAGAAACATACGTCATCTAGAGCCTCCGCTGCTGCATCGACATCATCCTCTGAGAAGACGTTAAGCTGCTTCAGCACCTGAAAGCACAGAGCCAACGAAAAACGAAGAATTAAACCAGTTCAAGAGGCAATGATAAGACTCAAAGTATTAGCGTGGTTAAGTTACTAAAATTCTACTCATGTTACCACCTCTAAACACCAAAGAGGGGAAGGATGATGGAGCTTTCACAGTGTGGAATCGGAATAAACAAATTGAAAAGTCCATCGTCGACAAGATATATGAAGAAGAAAACAAGTTACCAAAGACCATTTACCTTCTTTGCGTCCTCTGTTTTCAATGTTGGAACAGAGTAAGTGATAGAGAAGGCATCACAGATACCAACCGAATCTAAGAAGGTTAGTTGACTTGTCGTCCCAAAGACAAGAAGTTTCTTCCCCTGTCGACAAAAAGATCTTTACCGTATTAGAGATTTTCCATTGAAAGACATTAACTTGTGTAGATCAACCGTAAAGGAATATGAATAAGTAATAGACAAATGGCGACGGAAGCACCTTAGGAGGAAGTCGTTTGAGAAGGACCATCAACGTCTGTGAAATTATGTTTGAAAATCGAGGACCAATTGCCACGTACTCTAACAATCTGCAATATCAGAAATTCAAATACTGAACCGAAGAAAGAAACAGCAAAATTATGCTGAAGATTATTATGCTAAGTTTTGAAAGGAAACAAATAGCAGGTAACAACAACCTTTCAATATCGTCAAGGATGATGATGCTCATTGGTGATTTATAAGCATCCTCAAAGACCTGTTTCATTCACATCAACACCGATAGTCAGTAGACAGAACAAAAGAACAACAAACATGTATTTTCCAAAGCACAAACCTTGACAATGTGAGCACATTTTGTGCTCTCACCAAGACCAATCATAGTTTCCGCAGACACCTACAAAATAGTGAATTAATATCACACAAAGCGAAAAAAATGGTAATGTCTAAATATGGTGTACAAAGAAAGCTGGACACTTACTATCTTAACATATGGGAAGTCACTATCGATGCCAACAGTTGCTGCTAATGCAGTTTTTCCACTGTCCAGAAAAAGGTTTTAAAATCAGCAAAGGCTTACAAAACAACAAGCCAGAAAAAATGTGTGTTAGTTTACAAGGAAGATACCTTCCACTGGGCCCCTCAAGAAGGCAAGTGACTAGAGGACTTCTAGTACTAACTTTAACTTGCTCGACTAGGAGCATAGCTCTTTTGTAAATGTGATTATGTCGATCACCAGAATCCACCATCCCATTGAGTCTGCATACATGTCAGAAATATCAGACTCAACAGAAATAAAACAATTCAGAATACAAAAGTAAACTTGAGAAATTACAGATAAGCAAAAAATAAATACTGGAAACGAGTCCTTCATCTAATGACATAAAATTTTGGCTCCAAGAACCCGTTTAGATCATTTCAAAGCCACCCATCTACGTACAATTTAAGAAACCCATGGACATTCCCTAAAGAATGTCCAAAAGCAGCCCCTAGGTAACAAAACAAGTACTGCATTTTCAGAGCATGACTCACAGGAAAGAAGAGAATTAGGTTTGGCGCTGAAACTAATCTCAGCATATCTATGCGTAAAAGGTCCATTCCATCAAGAAATATCCCAAAACATCCAGACAACCACACATTTATCGAAGAAAATTACCTGCAGCGCTCCAGGTCATCCGTGGAGGCTCCGAATGCAGGCTGAACTTCATGGATTGCATGGAGAAAATCCTCCATCGTGATCTTGATATTCTCTTCTTCCACTGGCTTTGTGAGATCATCCATGCTTAATTGTCTGTTTAACGCATATGATGTAGCACTTTTAACAACACCTTCAAGCTCCGCACCACTGTAATTTTTTGTTCGAGCCGCTGCCAGACAATATTGACTAGTTAGTAACTAGTCCAAAGATAAAGACTGAATTTCGTGGGTTCTCCTAATACAAAATACAAGTATAATATTATGAAGCCATACCAAGCTCTTCTAGATTGATATCGGTACCAAGGAAAGAATTTTCCTTCATCTTGTTTGTATGAATCTGAAGAATTTGTAGACGCCCAGCTTCATCAGGAAGGCTTATCTCAACCTGAACCTCTAATCTTCCAGGCCTAAATTAT